TAGTTGCTAAGGAGTAACATAAGGGTGATTCATCGTCTCCAAATATCGACATTTTTAAGATATATTTTGATGCTATATGAGGGAAGAAAAAACAGAGAGTGTACGACCTTAGATCATAGTCGTCCTAGTATTACTCTCATTCTAGTGTTAGCTTATTCTCTCGCCACTTCACGATGTCATGGTGGTAATAACCCAAAAGTTTTTGCAGAGTACGACGATATGATCAAAGGGATGAAGATTACCATCCAAGCAACAAACTAGTCAAATTAGCACCATACAAAGTCGGTTGTAGATATTGATGAGATTGTTACACGACCCGCAACGGACTCATGTCCCTCCTACCGACCCCCACAACCCAAGAGTCGGTCATTCATCTCAATGCACGGTAGCCAAAAATGATGCGGGAGATGATGATACGAGAAAAGATAAGGACTAGATTTCTAGTTTTTTTAAAAAAAACTAATATTTTTTTACACCTTAACACATTTACATATTAAGTTTATTTTAATTTATATTATTTTAATTTTTATTAAATAATAAATTATGTTTTAATAAAGTCTTATTTTTAGTTTTTTGTTATTACCATTAACGTTAAACTACTATTAATTTATATTAAAAATAAAATTTCTTCAATTAGCAACGAATCTATAAGACACTTTAGCAAGAACAATTTAGTGACAAAAATTCTTTCACTAAATAATGACAGAAATGATGAATTAGCGATGACTTTGTAACAAATAAGAGATTGGAGAGACGATTGTTTACTATGCTTTAGCGACGAATCTACAACGATCGCTAAATTGTGATGGATTTAGTGATGAATCTACAATGAACTTTAGCAAAAAAAATCTAACGATGAAAATAGCTCAATTAGTGATGGTTTTGTGACAAACACAAGATCGGAGAGATGACTATATACTACGCTTTAGCAATAGAAATTCTATGCATGAGCGATGAATAATCCATCGCCGATCGCCGATGAAAAAAATTTTCCATCGCAAAAAAAATAACTACGAAGACTTTTGCTACAAAACATCCGTTGTTGCAAATCTATCATTAAGTACATATAGTAACGAATTTTTACTAGATAGCAACAAAAAAATCTATCACTATTTTTGGATTTTTTTTATAGTGAAAAGAGCTTGTCTAACATCTTTTCCAGCCTAACTAGAAGGTTACAAGAGGAACATTGCTAATGCTCTTCAAAATACTAGTTATAGTTAACATTGTCACATTTAGGCCAAGCTATTATTGAATCTAATTGTCATTTGTTTATCATAATTGTAATTTTTTTTTAATATATCCATATATTCTAATATAACACTTAAAGTCTACATATGTTCTTAAATTTTTAATTGCATCTCATATGTCCTTAAAGTGTTGAAAATATTCTATTTATTCTTTCTATCAATTTTTCTAGTCAAATAAAACTTTTTTTTAATAAAAAATTCTCTTGATTGAAATGCAAAAAATAAAATAAAATTCTAAAGAGTTCAAAATAGAACATTTAGGTCATGTGACTCTAAGCGTTTTTTTTTTTTTCATTTTAGTTAAGGGCATTTCACCAAAAAAAAATTGTATGGTCGGAAAATTTATTAGAATGACAGATTAAATATTTCAATGATAGATTGAATGCAATTGAAAATCTATAAATAGATAGAAGATTTTGAGTATTATATAGGACAAGTATGTATATTTACTTTTTATATATATATATAAATAATTGGACTTTGTATGGTTCAAACATGCATGTGTTAATCGTACAATAAGCTCACATTTTCTTTTTATATTCATGTTAAATTAGGTATGTTTAAAATTGGTGGTTATCGTAAAACTGTAGAGATGGATAGATATTTGCTAAAACTTAATCATTCGAGAATAGCTAGGTAATTATATAACTATCATTACTTGCTCAACCAATGCAATTTGTGAATCTTATAAACTAAAAGTTCTAATTAATTAGAAGGTTCAAAGAAACATGAAAATAAACAATTTGATCTTATATATCAAATTAATTTGGATATCGTAATAGTGGAGATTGTCATATGATTTAATGGGTTAGGTTCACTTACCTGATTCTTTTTTCTTTTGTTTTTCAATAGCTCCCTTTATCCTTTTTTTCTTAGTTTTTTTCTTTCAAGAATAATTGATTGCGTATTTTTAAATCTACTAATATAAATAGTGCTTTTTTCCTACAAAAAATTGTTTAAATAAATTCAACTAACTATTAAATTAAGACTCCACCAAAAATTCCCACGAAATTAAATGAAATTTTTTTCAACTATTTATTTACTTAATTAATTAGTAACTACCATTCCAAATTATATATGTGTTTTTTAAATCTATTTGCGTATGTATATATTCATGAAATAGATTATCTGTAGCAGGCATATATTGCATTAAAAAATAGTATATTTAAAAAGCCAATGATTTCCTCTGCGCATTTTCGTATTTAATCCACTGTTGAAGTTGTTTGAATATGTGATTGTAAATAACCCAATGAAGGTACATAAATTACTGAAAACTAAGAAATAGATTAGATTTTTTTTTTTTTTTTTTTTTAAGAAGTATATGAATTAATTGGGTTTTTTCGTCATGATCTTTTCCTATCCTATTGTTGAAAATTTATGTTTAGTGATGAACCATGCTATCTTTTCCTATACTATTGCCAGAAACTTATGTTTAGTTATAAATTATGTTTTCTAAGTGAATTTGTTTTTAGATATAAGGGTAATATCAGGAAAACTATGAGAAATTTTTTAATTTCCATCCATTTCCTCCAAATTTAGGTGGAATTGACTTTTTATGATATAAAAAGAAATTCAGAAATCTAGCTTCCTTTTTTTTCTTTTCTTTTTTTTTTCCAGTTTAATATCCAAACAAAGGAAATTGAATTTTCTCCCTTTAATTTATGTTTTACTTTCCTTTCATTCCTTTCAATCCATACATACATACTGTAAATTTAATGTTGCAATCTGACCTTTGTAAAGACTGTTTATTTTATTTTATTTTTTATTTTTTGGAAGCGCAAATGCACTGTTAGGTAAGCTATGACTTCAACTTTTTTCAAAAAAATTCTGGCATGAAAAAAGAAAACATTAGTTCTGACTTATATGTAACCTCCAATTTGTTTAATTGGATAAACCGAAGGTCCGTTTGCTGACTTTTAATTTTTAGATATATAGCATAAACCGACTTCTATGTTTTAATTGATCCCGTATATTCTTTATTCTTTATATTTTGGCATAGAAGAAAAACAATCTCTGACTTATTATGATTCTTTTTTTCAATTATATCGTTAGTTTGAAACTTTAATTTTTTTATTTTTATTTTTGTGGTTATCAGAATTCAGAAACTGGATTGAACAGATAGCATGATTATGGTTGTTTACTAATTAGCATGACCCTCTTTTTATTTGTGCCTGGCTATTTAAACACCGCTTTACGGGTGGCAAATTGGGCATGGCAGCTTGGAAACGCGTTCTAGGTACTAATGCGCGCCTTTCAACAAATTTCGTGTTTTCCACTAGTATAAAGTTTGCGTCTAACAAACAAAGCAAAAGAGCTTGTGGATATGTATATCGACATAAAAAGAATCCCTAACAACCTAATCATTAGTAACATAAACTATGTTTAATACCTTCTCTATCTAGCTTTGTCTTAGGGATCGCCTCCTAAAACTTTGTTGACAAATAAAATGAGAAAGAAAAAGGTCAGTAATTTCATAAATAGCCATTTGAATGGTTTTTTCTTTTTTCTTTTTTTCTTTTTTACTAGGGCCAGATTGAAAGTGTAAACTGTATAGTATGTTGAAACTTTAACGCTTCAACTTTGAACACAAACTTGCTCATAATTAATTCCGGCTGTAGAGAACGTAGCACAATTAACTAACTAGGCCCCTTTGCCACACATTGTACAACAAGAAATGAAGTAGATTGAGGAAATTTTGGGTGATGTAATGGAAAAAAACATGTTGCAGATATATTAATTATATGATTCGTTACAAATCCATTTTAGTATGCTTTCTCTTGTGATAACAAATTCTTGGCATGTTGTTGTTGAGATAAATGAAAGCAACTCAAGAAAGAACGTCATAAAAAAAAAAAATCTTTTTGTAATTCTCCTTTCTTTTTTAATAGCTGTACGTTATCTACTTTCTTTTCATGCTTAAAACAGATACTTTGTGTCTATTTACCCAACTTTCTGGTATTTGTTCATCACATATGATAAAGTGGCTAAAAACCATGTACAGCTGGAGCGACTTTACACAGATTGAATTTGGTTGTCAAGCTGTGTCGTATGATGACAGAACAGTAGCCCATCGGTTTTATTCCTTATCTAAACTAACCAAATGGATGGACCCATTTCCTTTTATAACTGTGCTTGCCTTGGAATGGAAGACTACATCAAAATTTAGTTGGAAAAACATGTTGTCATAAAAGATGGATTGGACAAACCATCCATACATCATTGGTGGGTCAAAAAACTTCTCATAGATATAGTTACTACATTATAATTTTACAACAAGAAGTGGACTAAAATGGGAGTATTAGACGACGACTAAACATGGGAGTACTCAGTAAAATAAACATTAACATGAAAGGGGAAAAGAGAAGAAATGAAATCCTTTAAGTATAAATTACAAGGAAAAAAAAACATATTATTCATTATTTAAAAAAATGAAACAACATTAATTAATGGAAATACAAATTAACAACAAATATAATTCCCACCGGGCCTAGAGATTAGCCGGCGTGTGAAATTGTGTTAATCTTCACCGTTTCAAACTATACTCTTCCCTTAAATCTCTCTTTCCTCTTTAAATAATCCTTTCCTACACCGCTAATCATTGGTTTATTACATGATCAATTTACAGTGCTTTCTCTATACATACCATCATATATATTTATCACGTTCCAGCAGAGATGAGCCCAAATTAATTAAGAATCACCACCACCTCGAAGTTATTACACAATGCAACCATTTAAATTGCATTTTGTTTCAACAAGCATAGAATTCAACGAGCTCGTCAAGAGACTCAGGTTGTGGGTCAGCATTCTCCAACATCCAAAGCAAGTGCTCGAACAAAACCACCTCGCAGGCGACATTAATAGTATCAGAGGATTCTTCAGTACTAGACCTCTCTGCAAGCTCACGAAACAGTGGATGGTCAATGATATCGGAGCTTATGAGATAGCGTCGACGAGATTTTCCTACGTAGACCGGGTGGAGGTCACCGCAGGAGTAGGTGGAGGAGATGTCATCATTGGTGATGGATATGGAGCTTCCACTCCTACTGGGGAGGCTTTGCTGCTTGTTGTTGAAGGAGTTGAGTTTCTTGAGGACTGACTTTAGTCTCATGAGCTTGCCTCCTTTGGCCATTTGTTGTTGTTCTGCTGGGAGGTTTAAGTGAATGGGTTTTGGGATGAGGAAAAGGAAAAGTGAGAGAAAGGAACTTTGGAGAAGAGAAAGAATGGTGTTGGGGCTGAGAAAGGGGAGAGAAGGTTCGTTATAAAGGAGAGGTTAAGGGTTGTTTTGGTATTTGGACTGAAGTGCCGTTACATGAGATGGGTACAAGGGGTCTGGATGGTAATGGATAAAAAGAACCCTAAATATTTTGTTAGATCCAACTTAAGTCTATATATGTACATATACACAAGATGAAGTAAATTCATTTGATATCAAATATATATATTGATCTTTCGAAGCACCAGATCAAAGGAATTTACTTCATCTGTTAAGCATAATCGTTTATGCGGTTAATTCACAGTTCAAGAGATCAAAACTAAAAAAAAAAAACAAAAAACAAAAAATCAAGAGTTGAATTGAGTTTACCAAAAAATTCAAAGATATTTAACCAGTCAGCCTTCTTGTATAGCTAGGTTCTAAAGAATTTGAAGGGAATATATATATATATATATATATATATATATATATATATATATATATAAAGTTAAGAAACATTGTTTTTTAAATGATAAAAGTAAATCGGACCAATTTTTATATGCAGATCAGGCTATTTGCATCTATAATGATGTATAGACAATACATCACAAAAACTCTAGCAACTTTTTTTTTTCTTATTGTGCTGTTTTTAATTTCTTTCAAAGTACATATAATGTTCGTGACTCTTAGTGTATATATTTTTTCTTTTACATAGTAGGTCTTTACATTTTTATAAGTGTTGTTTAGTAATAAAAAATGGAATGATAGAAATAAAAATAAAAGTTTTATTTATATTTTGTAGGTGTTTGGTTGAAATGAATGGATTGAAAATAAAAATAAAAAGTGAAAATGAGAATAAAAATTAAACACAGCTTTATTCCCAATAAAAATGTGAGAATAAAATAACGAATGAGAATGAATTTTTTTTTCTCTTCAAAATAGTGATCTATGATTTTTATTTAATATATATCAACTAATTATAGCGCTCGCACCACTAACACCTACACTACCACAACCATTGGTGATTGTAATAAAAAATTTAAAAAATATATATTTATTATTAGTTTTATTTTGCCTCCATTCCTTCCTTACTACTACCATTTTTATTATATAATCATTACCTTCCCTTTCTTCTTCCACCACTATAATTACTTCTATCTTTTTTGTTACTATCATGGTTGATGAAATTATTTTTTAATTATTATTCTTATTTATCTTAAGAACTATTTATTAAAAAATTTAAATTTCATCATGATTTCTTATTACTATTATAAACACAATATTAGATTGACACTACCACATATAAGGCTTTGTGTAGCGCGTGAAAACCGTAGTAAATAACATAAAACCATTGCATTTCATCTAATGCAACGAGTTTACCAATTGATACATCTAATTGGCGCCGCAATAGATTAATGTAGCGGTTTTTAGTTACAATAGCAACAAAAAACTTTTTATTGCATAATATCCTTCAATTGAAATGGTTATCTTATTACTTTAGACAACAATGTTGGGCGATATAGCATCGATTTAAGTCAAAATGTATGTAATGGTTTTTATAATATATCCAATGGTTATTGAGATATTTTATGCAACAATTTTTATCAACTACCGCAACAGTTTATCTAATATATTATGTAGTGATTTATGATCATTGTCAACGGTTTTTCTGTTCTATTATGCAACAATTTGGTTGTTTTAATGCAACGATTTTTGTATATATGAATTAACCCTTTCTATCTATAATGCAATGGTTTATAAAATATTTAATACAATAATTTGTAATATTATTGCAATCAATTTTTTTTCCAATTACAATATGTTTTTAATCAAACGCAACAATTGTCATGTTATTTGCAATAATTTTTAAAAAATAATTCCAAATATTAATTAATTACGAGAAAAGTAATAATCTAGGCAATTTCTTAACATAATTGTAAACATTAATTAATCTATTACAAGAACAATAATAAAATATAAATATCTATAAAAACATTAAAAAACACAACAAAATATCAATATTTGAAAAAAAAATTCAAAGTTCTTACTAGACAAATTTAGTAGACTAAAGTTCAAAGTTCAAAAAGCATAATAAGATACTAAAGTGTCAATCATGTAGTTGCCTTCCAAATTCAAGTAGTTTATAACACTAGGCAACCTACAATTTTAGGAAAAAAGATTTATTAGTAATGAAATATAGTAATTCCAATAATTGAACTTATATTTTTATCAAATAACAAATATAAAAATTAGTGATACCTAAACATTATAATTGTTGCTCGATGAATGTAAATTTCTTATATGATTCCCTATATTTAGTGTGCTATTAGCGAGTTCCTAGGGATCGAGTAATGTGAACTCAAGTATGCCATTATCTAATGTGATTAGCAGTCCCATATCCACTTATTTATACATATGGCAAACTGTGAGATTGTCATTTTAAAACAACATTGCCTAGTAATTTTAGGTGACAATTGAGCACCAAAAGCCCAATTTAAAAAGAAAAGCAATGCATAAAAAATCAAGAATGCAAAAGCACTTGTTAAACGGAAATCAATAATGCAAAAGTACTTATTCAACACAAAGACTACAATATATAGCTAATGAACTCTTGAAACATCTAGAAGTGTTATAATTGAATAATACGAACGTGCCCATCATATTACACCCACATAAAAATTATAACATGAATCCATGAAAGCAATTGAATAGAAGATATCCACCATAACACCTTACTCGTATAATATCTCATTCCCTTTCATGCGGATGGCGACAAGTCACCTTTAACAAAGTAGTGATTTGTCTCTCATTCAATCTTTTAGAGTACCTCCGACTCTCAACAATCTTACACACTTGTTTTCAAGAGATTATTCATGAGCAAGAACACCTATAAACTGTGACGACAAAATGGAAATGCATGAATGTGTATTTACCTCCATAGGCAAATAGTTATGTCGAAGAGGAAATCTCTTCCCATTGAGCTACTCTCTAAAATGCCTTATGCTTCATTGATTTTGAAAGAGTCATCCAACTCTTATCTATAACTTGAAGTTTCTAACATAATAAATTATTATTACAAATTAAAATGTACACAAAAAACAAACATAGAAAAGCACTTAGGCTGAGGGGTTAAAATTTTATAAGAAAGGACAATTTAAATTTAAGAAACTAGAAGAGAAAATCAAGTACATAGGCATATAGAGGCAAAAAGTCATCAAATCACGAGAGAAATACAAAGGTTAGAAAATCATTAAATCATAGAACATCAAGACATCCATATAGTGAATCAACCTAGATAAATTTTTGTTTATTAGTACAAAACTTACAAAAATTCGGCATTCAATCCTTAAATCTTTTTGCTTAAAAAGCCAAATCTAAGTGCGAGATTTATGTACCCCTAAAATTAGAAAGAAAAGAAATAATCAGCTTAAAATTCAACAACTCATTAAAAACAACACAAAAAAAGTAGACTCGGAAAAAAAATCAATAAAATATGATATTAATATAGGAAAACCTCTTAGTTAAAGAGAGAAATTCAATAAAATTAGTCAATTAACGAGTTAAAAATTAAGTACCGAAACAGGAAAAATTTAATAAGGAGAGAAATCCAATACGCAACTCTTAAAGAGATGAATTAAAAGAAAATCACATACAATATCATGACCTAGGGAGAGAAATTGAAAGAAAATTATTTACCCGAAAGAAGAAAGAACTTTTTCCTAATTTCACCCATTCCTTCAACAAAACCTACAAGTTTTTTCTTAATTTATAGTTGCTAAGACTTCAATCTAAACCAAGAGTAAAGTGATAGATTAAGGAAATAAGGGATATGGAAATTGAGAGAGAGAGAGAGAGAGAGATGTGTTTTATGGGAGAGTGAGAGAAAATTAAGATTGTTTAGTGAGTTAATTTTTTTTTTAATGGGGTCCTAAAAATTTTATATGCAACTATTGAAAACCATTGCATAAATTCCTTTTATGTAACGGTTTTAGTAAACCGCAACTTATGTAAACCATATGTAACACTTTATGCAACATTTTTTTTAGTATAAAAAATCAAAATTTCACTACAATAGTTTTAAAATATTGCAAAACCGTTGCCATAATTTACATTAGCAATGGATTTGGAGCCACTACTAAGAAACCATTGCATAATGTCCCAAATGCAATAATGTGAAAATACTATTCCGATTCTCTAATTTTTATTCGATTTCTCTATTGTTATTCCAAATCTTTTATTTTTTATAATCAAATGAATCTTTAGAATACTACAATTAATCCTCCATTGTAGCATGAGAATCCTCCAAAATAACAATTCTCAAATTCATCTCATGTAAAGTTCGTTTCTTACCACATAAGCTACCTATGAGGATTTCATTTATAATTCGAGCATACCGCCTTCTCTCCGTTTTTTTCCCTCTCTACCACCTAGTGCCAAATATTGCTTCTTTAAATATATATAGCTAATTCTTCTTTATGTTGTTTATTTGAGAAAACCGAATCCGAGGGCTTAATTTTTTTATTTTTTTAAGTGCTTAATTGGTAAATTTTTTATTTGAGTACCTAAATTTTAATTTTCTTTTAGTGTCCACATTCATCAATTGAAAAATGATGATATATCCACAATGAACTACCACCAAGCAGTTTTTAACTAACATATGGAAAAAAATGGGTCCCATATGAATTATAAAAAAATAAAAATTTTTAGAGAAAACTACAATTTAAATGCCTAATGTTTGATTGTTTTTTGTTTGAATGCGCAATGTTTGACTTTGTTTCTTATCCATTTCTCCCAAAAAGATCATCAATTAACTTTCACACAGTTTAAGAAAATTATTAATTGTTGTGTTATATCGATATTTTTTTTATATATATTTTCCCAAAATATATATTTTTAAAAATTTTTAATTATTCACTACAAAAAATCCAAAAATAATGATAGATTTTTCTATTTCCAAATGGAAAAAATCCAGTAGAATAGCAATGGATTAGAGACAATGTGAATTCCGTCACTAATATGGTGGTTTGCTATTTCCATAAGAACCGAAATATTTTTCCATCGCCGATTAGCAATGAATTTCTTGTCGTTAATTTTTGAATTTTCATCGCTAAATTGATTTAAAACGAGTCATCTATGAGGTCTTATATCTATCATCATTATGCCCCTATGTCCATTCTCATCCGTCGCTAAATAGCTATAAAATTGATGTCACTAAATTATAGTAATTAAGATCCTCGTAATTTTGTCACAAAATCCATTGTTATTTAACGACCGTATATGTCTTCATCGTTAAATATCGTCACAATTCTATCGCTAAACGTAGGTTTGTTTTTAATCAATAGTCGTATATTATTAATTGTAATAACAAACAATTATAGACAACACCTTATTAAATACTATACATAAATAAAATTAAAATTGGATGATTTGAAATAAAATAAATAAATGCATAAAAATATTTAAAAAATTAAAAATAAATAAGAAACTTAGTCGTCATTATCACCATGTCTTGCATCATCTTTCGGCCACTAGATGTTGAAAGGAACAACTAACTCTTGGATTGTGAGAGGGTTAGTAGGAGAGACACGAGGTTGTCGAAGGTTTTATAATAACCCCCTTCATTGTTTGTAATCGACTTTGTATGGAGCTAACTTGACCGACTTGTTGCTGGATGGTAGCCTTCATCCCTTTGTTTTTATCTTCTTATTGGGTAGAAACCTCGAGGATATTACCACCAAAGTACCACAAAATGGCAAAAAGGGATCTAGCGCCGAATGTGAGTAACATTAGGATGCATAAGTTCCAATGTCGTACACTTTCGTTTCTTCTTCCCTCCGACAACATCCAAATATATCTTAGACATGTTGACATCCGGAGATGATGAATCACCCTCATGTCGCTTGCATTAATTGCATGCACTCTTATGTCATTGAAATAATTATAATATTAAATCATAAATATATTTTTTAGATTATATCGATAGATGTATATATATTTAAAAAAAATAAAATATTTCCATTACTATCTATGGCCGCCAATTGATAAATGTTTCATCTTTTCGCTTATGAGTGGTTAGGAACAATTCGTAAGGATTTGGATTATGACCCAATTTATTATGCCAAAAAAATAAATAAAATAATATATGAAAAAATAAATGTAACAATTAATTTATAACACAATAGATAATATAGGATTTACCAAATGCTCGAGTGTGATTGATCAAAGAGATGGATCTTCTAGTATACTTGGATGGCCAACACCAACATTATCCATCTTCGGCATACAATTTTGAGACACCATGCTTCAACACCTCTTTTTTAACAAATGCGGGTCCGATATTCGTATGCTTCAGCTTTGTTAAGCATGTTTTTATATCGCCTCTACACCATAATCTTCCACACATCCTTAATCAATGCATCGATGGTCACATTCCATAAAAAAATACTTCTATATGAAGAAAAAAATAATACTAATACTTTTCATATTAAATTAACACTTTAAATAAAATAAAAGTAAATAATTAATATATGACTCTAAACTCATTAAAGTAGAAGTCTTTCGTCTTTATGAAGATAGAGTTCCATATCGAGCCGACGGCGTCCACCTACTTTTTGAAAATTATGATGAATTTTATGAAGTATTTGCTTGGTAGAATCAAATTGTTGAACAAAAAAAAAATTAAATTAATAATTCCAATATAATTTATAAAAATATATAATTAATTCTCGTATATAAAACATATTACTTGTCAATTATTCACGACCCAAATAATCTATCCATAATTAGATCTAATAGAGCTTCTTATAGCTAACGAACCCATAGGAGAGATGTAGGCATGTCGACCCCATTATCAAGTCCGTAGCCCCGAATACTTGCACTAGTAGTGCCACTTCCACATATACTACCACTATTAATCTTGCAATCAACATCAAAACCACAATCACTAATACTACGACCGAATCTGTCTAATCCATGAGACATAACTCAAGAATGACAACTAAAATAATATAACAAATGAAGAACAATTTGATTAAAAATATATTATAAACCATTATGAATTAACACAAACAAAAATTTATATATATATATACACAAAATCATCTCCTTTTTTTTTAATAAAAGTTTTATTTTTTTCTTAATAAATTTAAATGGGATTCACTTTTTATCACGAATGTTTTTTTTTTTAATAATTTCTGCTAAAGCTACTTAAAAAGAAATGCTAAGTGACTTTCTCAAACTCCAATGCTTCCATAATATAAAATGTTATGCCATCTGTAACTGGCTAAAGATATATGAAAAGTAATATCTTATTCTCCAATTACAGCTATCAACAATAAAAAAACGAGAACAGTTTCAATTCTAACTTGAAAAAGACAAACAAACAAACAAAAAAGCTATAGTTTTGTCAATAAATAAATATTTGATTCCCCTGAAGATGGAAAATTTTTTATTTATATAATTTTTCCTTACTTTTATCCCCTATGACAACTGAGGAAGGGATAACGTGTAATGTAATAGGGCATTTGTGAGTTTTGCCCATACTTGGTCTTCACATTCATTCACGTACCAGCAAGAAAATAGGGAGCTAGGGTGTTGGTCTCTCCATACACATTGTGGATTCTTCTTGCATATCGTAACTAACTGATTTCTGCTGCTCTGAATTAAATAATACTTCTTCCTTTTTCTAATTCAAATATTAGACAGTGAAAACGACAGACATGTGCGGTGGTGTTACAAAGGTCTCCAACTTTATTTGCCCAAAGAATTTCATAAGTTCTAAGTCTAAAAGGACAAGAAAAATTGAAAACCAATTTTTTTTTCTTTTCTTTAATAAATGTGATATTCTTAAATATTTTTCTCACACAAGATTTCAGAAGATAAAACAATAAAGTACGAGAAATGAGAGTACGCCTTCTAGAATATGGACCAATCGGTGGTGGTAACTACCATGAACTTTTGTTTTAAGCGGGAAACAAAGGAAATTAGTAGTATATTTAAGTCAGTCAAGGAAATGAACGGTATTATTTGTTAATTTTTTTATATATCATTTAATTTTACGCTTCTTTTTCTCAATGAAAGATTCCTCCGTTAGACTGCAGTCTGCTTAATACATTAAATTTTATGATAAATTAAAATCATATATATAAACTTCTAACCACCAGCCACGTTTGAGGCATTTTATTGTTTCAATATCGATCATTGTTGACAATGATCTTCAGAAATATTATCGTCGATAATACTGATGCATGGTTTGGTTTTTATGCTCTAGAAACATTTCTGACTTTTGTTCCTAGCTATGCCCTATATAAATACTTCTTACGAAACAGAAAGAAAAAATATTACTTTAAGCAAAAAAAAAAAAAGCATTTATGTAGACATCATTTAAGGAAATTTGAGTAAAAGTATAAATTAATTATCTAGTTTTGCAAAAAAAAATTAAATAGCTTTTTTAGTTTTAAAAACTAAATAATTATCTTTATGTTTTTAAATATATTTATAACTTTTTTTTCATTTTATATTATTTTTTATTTTTATTATTATTATTTTTTGGTAATAAAAAACAAAAAAAAAAGTAATGTAGAAAGATTGGTGAGAAAAAATATTTTTTAAAACAAAATAATATTAAATTATCTATTGTCAACACTTATCAATGGACTAATTAATTAGTTTTTTAAAATCAAAAGGATTATTTAATTTCTATTTTTTATAAAATTAGAATGATTAATTTATAATTTCTTCAAGTTTTTAGTTCACTTTGCATGTTCTTCTTCTTCTTGTTCTTTTGGACGAGGGGGTTAGGTTGTAAATAAGCACGAGTATCATGATATTTAGGAATATTGGTTCATATAAATTAAATCAAGTTCAAACCTAGTTCAAGTATCATATCGATTTTTACAATAGCTTTTTTAATTTTGGTTCGTTAATTTTTCTTTTTTTTAATTGAACTCACTTGTTCACAAACAAAACAAAATCAAATAAATATGAATATTTTAATATAATTATTTTTAAAAAAATTATTCTTTTATTTCAATTTTGTGTATTAACCTCAACTTAAATGTTAAAATCATTTAGTACTTAATCTTATATGTATTTTATAGTTAGTTTGCACTTCTTATATAATAAAAATATTTTATTTTAACTACATTTTCTTAAAAATAATCAATTAAAAATATATTTCATGTTCACGGTCAACGTCAACCTATAAGGGGAATATGAGATTGCGAGTGAATAAGGAGTCACCACCTAGCTAATTGGAAAAAAATTAAAAAACCGTAAATGTACCTGATTTGCATAGATATTTGGGTAACGGGTCGAGTACGTATGGAAAAGATATAACATCATCATCATCCCGTCCTACTTAAGGTAGGCTACATTGTTTGCTTGTGAAAATAAAAATATGATTTTTTTTTACCGTGTTATGCTTATATGTCTATTTAAATGAGTTTATTTTGTTAAAATATAAAAACAAAGTAGTTCGTGTGTTTGGGTATAAAACAAAATAGTTTGGGGATTTGAGTTGGTCTAAGGTCGATACCTCCTATTCAAAAGGGAAATGGGGAAGTTGAAATTTTGGCTAGTCATTAATGAACATGAACTATTACCGAAAAGTAGGTGAGTGTCTCGAAGATGGATAACATTTTATTAGCATAAGCGACGAGTCACCGATGACTTTAAGTCATGAATTTGGAAAAATGCCAACAACTTCTTCATATAAGTGGAAAGTTACCAACAACTTCATTTTGCTTGAGAAAGGAGCGAGATAACTATTTTGGATGCCACCGATGACTTCATCACACAAATGAAAAGCTACCGATGACTTCGTTTTAGACAAGCGGACAATCAAATAAAATAATCTCAAAACAATTAGCGTCTTCACTTCTAACAAATAGAAAATAGATAAAATGACTTTGAAGGCACTCGGCAACTTCGTTTTAGTAATTCAAAATTAAATAAAATTGGTTTGAAAGCCACTAGTGACTCCATTTTGAACATATATATATAAAAAAAGATAAAGTGACTTCGAAACCACTAGAAATTACTAGCGGTTTCATCACATAAGTGAAAATTCATCGACAAATCCATCCCCAACAATTCAAAATTAAATAAAATTGATTCAAGAGCCACCGGCGACTTCAATTCACATAAACAAAAAATAGGTAAAATGCCTTCGAAGCCACTAGCAACTTCGACACATAAGTGGGAAGCCGCTAGAGACTCCATCCATAATAATTCAAAATTAAATAAATTTGGTTCGAGAGCCACTACGAGACTTCATTTTGAATAAACAAAAAATAGGTAAAATGACTTCGAAGCCATTATGACTTCAGCAGCATAAATGGGAAACCACTCGGCAACTCCATCCATAATAATTCAAAATTAAATAAAATTGGTTCAAGAACCGTTGATGACTTCATTATGAACAAACAAAACATAGGTAAAATGACTTTGAAACTACCGGCGACTTTGGCACATAAATGGAAAGCCACCGGCGAATCCATCCATAACAATTCAAAACTAAATAAAATTAGTTCGAAAGCCACTAATGACCTCTTTTTGAAAAAATAGAGAATAGGTAAAATGACTTCAAAGCCACCGATGACTTGGACATATAAGTGGAAAACCACTAGTGACTCCATTTATAACAATTCAAAATTAAATAAAATTAGTTTAAGAGTCACGGGTGACTTCATTTTGAACAAATAGAAAATAGGTAAAATGACTACGAAGCCATTGACGACTTCAACATATAAGTGGAAGCCACAAATGACTCCATCCACAACAATTTAAAATTAAAGGAAATTGATTTGACAGCCATCGACGACTCCATCCACATAAATGGGAAGCCACTACGACTTCATTTGGGATAAAAAAAAAAAAAAAGTAGGTAAAGTGACTTTGAATCCATCGATGCTTTGTCGGATAAGTGGAAAGTCACTAATGGCTTCATTTTAGCATTGCAATCAAGTATGATAAGTCAATCAAACTACAAAAATAGGCATAAAATTTGCAGATATAAAACATAGTAATTTGTTCATAATGGTCATTACGACATTCACTTTAACCATATTTAAACCATGAATTTTTAAATAAAATGGAACAATTTCATTCAAATTTTAAAGAAATAAAGTCAGTTTAAAGGTTTTATCCAAAATGTTTTATAGTTTAGATTTCTAATTCACATATCGGTTCTACTCTCTTTATCCTCGACGATAATTGATTATTTAGTTAGCTAAGGAAGAAAAGCGAGTTACATGTTGTCAAAACATTATAGGGGTCCCATCAAAGCGATTAAAAGTCTCTCTAAAGTTAGTGCAAGTAGTCAAGGTTGCTATTACTATCAACATTACTATAAATTTTACGAGTAACTTTGTAAATTTCTAAAGTTGATGTTTCATAAGGAGGCTTGACAACAAAGTTGTTGCGGTGTTTCTCCTATCAAAAATCAATATAAATACATTTTACATAATCATGTTGTTCTTGCCAAACACAATCAATGCAATAGTAAAAAAAAATTTTGTTATGTTTCTATCCACAGTTAGTCTATCTTTTACTAATGTCAACAATCAATAACAACAACCTATTAGTACATTTTCTAGCCAAAACAGCATGGGACAAAAAGGCTGGCCACGAAGGACTTTTGGACGTAAATTATAGCTACTAGTTTTGGGATGGCTACTAGTGAGGGGCTGCTTCGATACATTAGTGCTAGCTTTTAGGGGGCGGGAGATGTGCTAGGCATGACCTACGGGAGGTAGGAGTTGCACTAGGTATGGCCGGTCGATTGGTCGCCCTACTGAGCTGCAGCTTGTAGGCATGGCTAAACTGTCGCTAGCAAGCTACACGCAAGTGGCCGTCGTCAAAGCATTGGCTCGTTGTAAGGGTGAATACCGTAATATGTATGGGCATTACGAGGTTTGGCATGCTCGGGCGAAAGGTTGGCTTGGTTGTAAGCGTGGCCTAGTGCTAGCGCTAGCACTCGTGGGAGGCTATTCGTGTAAGAAAAGGTGAAAAGGAGTTGGGGTGTTCTAGGACATGGAACTGCGAGGGCTATGTTGTGAGGGTGGACAAAGAGGAGCTTCGGGTAAGTGGTTGGGCAAAGGTGTGAGGCAAGGAGAAGGGTGTTCGAGTGTTAGTGGCTAGTGAAGAAAAAGGGTATAGATGGTGGTTTAAAGAGTAGGGTGGCTACCTAAAATGGAGAAGGAGGAAGATGAAGTATGGCAACTTCCTCCCCCCGTTTTTGTTGTTGTAGCTGAATATAGGGAAGAAGATGAATGATTATGATTATTTTGAGCAAGGTAGAGGATGGTGTTTGGTGGCGATTAGGCGAGGAAAAAGGCTAGATGGTGTGCGAAAAGGTCAACGTATGGGAGCTTTGGTTGGAATTTTTAGTTGCAGTAAAGGGGAGAGTTGGTTAGATGCTAAAGATGATGAATGAATAGTATAACATACCAAAAAATGCAAAAGGGGCTTTTACGGGTATTTTTTTGGTTTTTTTTTTGTAAAAGTTAATTTCGATCCCCGATTCTCCATAATCCTCAATTTAGGTCCGATTTTGGTTGTTTGTTTCGATGCGATCCTAATTTTTCTTTTTAATTTCTTTCAATTATGCCCCCATTTTATTTTAATTGAAGGACAAAAGTTTTAAATTTTTTAATTATACCCTCAATTGTTTTTTTTTTAACAAACTTTCTCTTTTTTTAATTAGCCCCTTCTTAGAACTAATCTAAGCTAATTATTTCAACTGATTTTTTTATCCTTTTCTTTTTCTTTTTTCTTTTTTCTTTTTCTTTTTTACTTGACATTTTTTATCTTGTTTATTATTATTATCTTTTTTGGTTTTTTGCACTAAAAATAAAAATAGAATTAAAAAATGATGAGGGTAAAAATTGGGTGTTAACATTAACGAACACTATAAAAAATCGACATATAGCGATGGAATGACCTATTGCTAAATAATAGTCAGAAGAATACTCATAATTATGTTGCTAAATTCATCACCATTTTGCGACCATATGTATATATGTTATTAAATGTTCTCGCAATTATGTTGCTAAATTTATCACTACACTATATGAATTTTTAATTTTTTTAAATTAATAGCTACTTATTGTTAATTGTAATAATAAACAATTATAAACAACACCTTATTAAAACATGATATATTATTTAATAAAATTTTTATATTATAACTAAAATAAAATAAATACATAAATACGTTAACATGTATAAAAAAATTTAAAACTTTTTTTAAAAAGAAATTTAGTCCTCATTAGCATCATCTCCTTTATCATCTTTTGGTTGCTAGTGTTAAAAGGAATGATTATCTCCTAGGTTGTGGGAGGGACATTAGTACGTTAGAGGCTCCGTAACAACCCATCACTATCTATAATTGAGTTTGTATGCTCGCTAATTTAATTAGCCGATTGCTCGGATAGTAGCATTCATCCCCTTGATCTTATCTTTGTACTAGGCGAAACCTCATAAATATTACAACTAGGATACCATGAAGCGGTAAACGAGGAGCTTTCACCAAAATATGAGTAACACTAAGATGCATAAGTTTTGATATTATACATTCTCTCGCTTCTTCTCCCCTTCGACAACATCCAAATATACCTTTGACATGTCAATATTTGAAGACAATGATTCAACCTCATGCCACTCTTTAGTAGTTGTTTATTGCATTGATTCGGATGCACTCTTATGTCATTGAAGTAATTCTAATATTAAATCATAAATATATTTTTTAGATTATATCGATAGTGTGTATGTTTGTACTTAAAAAAATATAAAATTTTACCATTACTCGTTTGTGACCTCTTATCGACAAATGTCTTATCCTTTCGTTAGTGAGTGATCATGAATACCTCGTAAGGATTTGGATTATAATCCAATTTATTATGCTGAAAAAATAAACAAAATAATATGAGATGAAATAAATACAAAAATGAATTCATAACACAATGGATAATATAGGATTTACTAAGCGCTTAGTGTGCTTGATCAAAGAGATGGACCCTCCAGATATATTTGGATAGGCTAGCACCGACACCAATCGTCTCGGACATATGATTTTGTGACGGTTGTTGAGATCGGACTCGATACTCGAAAATGGCCTAATCTTGATGCCATGCTTCCCACACCTTCCGTTTAACAAACACATGTTTGTTACTCTTATGATTTAGCTAGTTAATCATGTCGTCATACCGCCTCCATGTCAAACTCTTCCACGCATCCTTAATCGGTGCGTCCATGATATCATTACATAAAAGTACTTCTACATGAAGGAAAAAATTAATATTAGTACTTTTCATATTAAATTAACACTTTAAATGAAATATAAAAATATAATTAATATGTTATCCTAAACTCATTAAAGTAGAAGTCTTTCATCATCATGGAGATAGACTTTTATATAAAGCCGGGGACGTCTAATCGATCCTTAAAAATTATGATAATTTTTATAGAGCGCTTGCCTAATGAAACCAAACTATCAATAAAATAAATAAATAAGTGAATTAATGATTCAAATATGATATAAAACTAATTATTAAATGTGAAACATATTACTTACTAGTTATTCACAATCCAAATGGTCCGTCCATCATCGGATCTAGTGAAACTTTTTTGAGTTGAGAAAATTATAATGGGATAATCCACAACAAGAGGCACTACCAGGTGGGAGCATAACCAATGATGGCATTACTAGAGAGGATGCAAATATGTTGGCACCACTATCAAGACTAAAGCCTCGGACAATTGCACTAGTAATGCCACCTCCACATACACTCGTCACTATTAGTCGCATAGGCAACATCGAGCCACGACCATTGACACGACGATCGGATCTATTCAATCCATGAGATATAACTCAAGAATAACACCCGAAATAGTTTAGCAAAAGAATAATAATTTGATTGAAATTTTAATTAATAATTATCTTAAACATCCAATAAAATTTTGATAGAGTCTCCCTATAAACTCGCTAATTTCCTAATTATCAAATACTCCAAATGATCACATAAACAATAAATTAAATAAACCAACAATCAATTTATGTACATTGAGATCGACGATTAACTCGGATACTCCATCGAAATTAAATCTCAAACTTGTCCTCTCAATTTTATTACAGAGCATTAAACCAACCTCATTTCTCCTCAATTCTTGGAAGCTTTTGACCTCTCAAGTTCAATACACAACGTTGTATCTTGACATACTTTAATAATTATATACGAAATAATTAAACCAATTAATTCTAATTCTAACCTAATTAAGTTTAAAACAACAATAAATTCACAAGTTTTAATATATGTAAAATTATAATTCAACCGAGATAAACATAATTAACCAAATTAATTAATTAATTCTAAATCAAATTAACTTAATTAATTCTAATTCTTAAAAAATTAAGTTTAAAATACAGTAAATTAACAAGTTTTAATATAAATAAAGTTTTAATCCAACAAATTAAATAAAATTAACCTAATTAATTGATCAATTAAAAATCAAATTAACTTAATTAATTCTAATTCTTATCAAATTAAATTTAAAAAAATAATAAATTAACAATTTTTAATAAAAAAATAAAATTTTAATTCAACCAATTAAACATAATTAATTAATTATAAATTAAATTAACTTAAATAATTCTAATTCTAACCAAATTAAATTTAAAATAACTATAAATTAAAAAGTTTTAATATTAATAAATTTTTAATTCAACTAATTAAACATAATTAACCAAATTTGTTAATTAAATATAAATCAAATTAACTTAATTAATTCTAATTCTAACCAAATTAAATTAAAAATTACAATACATTAACAAGTTTTAATACAAATAAAAAAAATTAACCTAATTAATTGAAAGAGTTTTCTTCCTTCTAGCTCTTTGTCTATGTTTATTTTGATCAAAGGATAAACCTTTCTTTGGATTTTTAGTCATTATATTTATTCATTGAATAAGTGATGATACAAGAGTTCTTACTCAGGGAATCCTTGTACTTAGTTAGTTTGAAGGTTTTATTGAATCATCATGGTTCTAGTATGAATCTGAGGTTTTCAATCAATTAACAAGAGAATTCCTATCAATCAATTAACAAGAGAATTCCTATCAATCAATAATAAAGAAAACACCAATAAAGTCGTATTCTATATAAATAAAAACACCAAATCAAGGAAATAAAATATATAATGACTCGAAGCTAACTTTGGTTGGTTAATCCAATCGGTTCATTGATGGTCGACAAGTATGATGGTCCTAATGATGATCCTGCATGTATTTCGTGTGTATCTCATGGGTGGCTTTAAAAAACCTTGTGAATTGACTTGGGTTACAAGTATGGTTCTTGGTGTATTAACCGTATCCTTTGGCATAACTGGTTATTCCTTACCTTGGGACCAAATTGGTTATTGGGCAATCAAAATTGTAACAGGCGTGCCGGAAGCTATTCCTATAATAGGATCCGCTTTGGTAGAGTTATTACGTGGAAGTGCTAGTGTAGGACAATCCACTTTGACTCGTTTTTATAGTTTACACACTTTTGTATTACCTCTTCTTATTGCCGTATTTATGTTAATGCATTTTACAATGATACGTAAGCAAGGGTTTATAGCTTTATTCCTTTCTATTTATAGAGAATGTAGATCATAAATATTTGTAATCAATCATTAATCGATTGAGGGAGTAAGAATAGTATTTAATTGCTACAAATATGGATTATTGAAAAGAATAAGACATGTATTTAGATATTTTCAAAAAAAATTGTATTATTTATTTGATATGAATAGTTAAAGTGAATTCCCTTAAGAGAAAAGCATGGATTATAGGAATGTGTGACTTGGACTATTGTTTTGGCCATGCAGATATATGCCTTTATCCGCCACATTAGAATTCATAATCAAATGTGTTTTTATTCTAACCACTATGTAAGCGACATACATAGGATAGATCGGTTTGTTTGAAGAGAATCTTTTCTATAATCGGACCTAATCATGTCATGCATGAGCAAGCTCCATAAAATCCAGTAAAGTAAGTGGTGTAGTATAATCCATATTGTATTTTTTTTAGCTATTTTACCTACTTATACTTAGTTTTATTTAATTCATTTACTTAATACTTAAATAGTATGGAAATGGGCTAGTTTAGATCAATCCTAACCGAGATGATTATGAATTCTTTATATATTCTATATTCATGTTCTATTTTAATATTTTATTAAAATGAATAAAATTCAAATTATATATTAATAAAATATTAAACCTCGATAAGAAACGAAAACCTTAAATCGCGATTTGTGTGAAATTCCTGCTATTTTTTATGTAACTGCTACAAGATCAACAATTTCATGAACTTGGGCTTCGTTGCTGACATAAAAACATCCCTTTCCATGTCTTCGGATACAACTAATAAGGGTTTGCATGTTCTTTGTGCATAAACCCTTGTGAGGATTTTGTGCGGTTTCAGTAGTTCTTTCGCTTCCAGGATAAATTCTCCTATTTGTGCTTCATAAAAAGCAACAATAGGCTGATGGATCATTACCCTAATGATATAAGATAATAAAAGGTTATATCTTGCATTAGAAGGTCACGAGAAGAGATAAAGAATTAAAAAAGATAAAATTGACCAATCATACAAGCATTATTTGCGTATTGCATACGGCTCTATAAGAGAATTCACTTTTACCAAGGAAAAATAGAGAGTCTACAAGGACTAGGTTGGTAAATGATACAATGACCACCTTTCTCTTGGGAGGAATTAAGAAAAACAAAATACTATAGTGGCTCCGTTGCTTTATTTCATCGATGATTTAGAAATCCCCAAGTTTCTTTTTTTTTCAAATAAAAAAAATGAAAAAAGAATATAATCTTTTTTTATCCTCTTTCATAATAATAATAATATAAATAGCATTAAGAACCTTCGGTGTGAAAACCAAAAAAAGTTTACGACATTGAAATAGGCTCCTAATAAATAAGATAAAATCGAAAATACCCTTAATATCTCATACTACTCTTTCAATACATAATCTAATGTTAAAATGAAATAAAAAATTTCTTATATTGAATTCGAAATGTCATGCTATTATTACTTAATATTCATATTTCATATGGCGAAGGCATAGTTTTCTTTTTTCTTTCAAATAAAATAAAAAATAAAAACCCATTGGCGCCAACTTGAGGGAATGTTAGACATTTGGTAATTTTTCCTCCGACCAGGATAAAAGATCCCATTGAATCGGCTAATCCCATGAATATACTTGTTAGTACATTTGGTTGCCTAAATTGTATAGTATCATAAGTAGCTATTCCAAGTATTACCCATCCGCTATGAGAGTTTATTAAAAAATACAAATCTTTTATCTCACTTTTTATACTAAGATATACCATAAGATCGATAAGTTGATTCAAGATCTCACTATCAATATCTTGACCTAGAAAAAGTAATCTTTCTTAATAAAGTCAATTGATTAGGTTCAAATTATATCCCTTAGGAACCATATATGCACTTTTTGATGCATATGGTTCATCAAAAATTGTAAAAAAAAAAAAAAAAGAATTAATATGTAGATCCTAGCCCTTCCTTTTTTGGTTTTTTTTTTATAGTGAGTACTTTCTAACTTCTCTTTTAATGAATAACAAAGGGGCTTTTCCTCCATTTTTCAAGAAAGATGGCTTTATTTTACCCGTTTACCTATAAATAAATAAAAAATAATTAAACTTATCAAACTACCTTCTCATTGACGTACTCTTTCATCGGGATCCAATTCAAATCATGACATTCTCTTGTTCCTAAATGGGCTTCTTTAATTCTTTTAGGTTTGTGCTCTACTCCGAGTAAAGATCTACTTGATTTTGATTTGCACATATAACACAAATGTCCCTAATACCACATCTTTTTTTTAGTTCTTTTTTTTAATTCTTTCATGCCTTCCATAAAATATTTAACGTATTTATCAAATTGGTTTTTCTAGGTGGAGTTTGGATACTTCATTTTATTGGTCCAAACAAGCTAATCATAAATTATTCTAATTGATAATATTAATCTAAATACCTCCAAAGCATCGATCTAATTGCACTTCATTGCCACTTCACACTCTAAATTTTTGATGATTTAATCAATTCTTTTTTGGCGAAACAGAGGATATCTCGATCGGGGTAAAGAATGGAGAAATCCCATAATGACCTAATGTCTCTAACAAATCGCACTATACGTCAATCCAATTTGAACTATCCTCCCCAGGATTTCGAAAGGGAACTTTTGGAACACCAATAGGCATAAAATGAAATTAAAAAAAATTGAAGTACTCTATTTCACTTTGATGTGAAAGCGTAAGAATGAATTTATTATCTTAATAATATTATATTGGCTTCTTTTTTCTATTTCTATTTTCTTTATTTTTATATTTTATTTGCTTTGCGCGGATTCGATAAGTTCATAATTAAAAAAAAAGACAATGAATAAAGTAAAATTATTACAAATAAGCTCTTTGAATGATGAACAAATCTGTATGCATTCGCCCATCTAAAATAAAGTCAACCTACCTTACGTATTGGTAGTTATCCGGTATAGAATAGATCTCGCTTCTCTTTGTTCCTACAAACAAAATTATGATATTATAACTAAAATACTAAATAAAATGAAATCCTTTCTTCGAGATAATCCACTGGAAAAGGAGGTCTATAACATAGTTTTTTCCGAGTGTGATAAAGTTACATAGTTTCTATCTTTCATTGATAAGGGGGTATTCTATGGGTTTGCCTTGGTATCGTGTTCATATCGTCGTATTGAATGATCTTGATCATTTATTGACCATCCATATAATGCATACAACTTTAGTTGCTGGTTAGATTGGCTCGATGGCTCTATATGAATTAACAATTTTTTATCCTTCGACTCGTTCTCGATCCAATGTGGAGACAACATATGTTCGTTATACCCTTCATGAATCGTTTAGGAATAACCAATTCATGGGGTGGTTGGAGTATTACATGAGGAATTATAATGAATCCGGGTATTTGGAGTTATGAAGTTGTGCTTGGGGCACATATTATGTTTTCCGTCTAGTGCTTTTTGGTAGCTATCTAACATTGGGTGTATTGGGATCTAGAAATATTTTTATGATGAATGTACAGTAAAACCTTCTTTAGATTTACCCAAGATCTTTGGAATTCATATATTTCTCTCAGGAGTGGCTTGTTTTGGGTTTAGCGCTTTTCATGTAACAGGATTGTATGGTTCGTAAATATGGGTGTCTCATCCTTAAGGACTAATCAAAAAAGTACAATCAGTAAATCCAATGTGGGGAGTGGAAGGTTTTGATCCTTTTGTTCCAAGAGGAATAGCCTCTCATCATATTGTAGCAAGGACATTAGACATATTGACGAGCCTATTCCATCTTAGTGTCCGCTCGCCCCAACCTCTATACAAAGGATTACGTATGGGAAATATTGAAAACATGCTTTTCAGTAGCATCACTGTTATCTTTTTTGCAGCTTTTGTTGTTGCTGGAACTATGTGGTATGGTTCAGCAACTACCCCCATTGAATTATTTGGTCCCACTCGTTATCAATGGGATCAAGGATACTTCCAGCAAGAAATATATCGAAGAGTTGGTGCTGGGCTGGCTGAAAGATCAAAGTTTATCCGAAGCTTGGTCTAGAATTCCTGAAAAATTAGCTTTTTATGATTACATCGAAAATAATCTAGCAAAAGGTGGATTGTTCGGAGCAGGTTCAATGGACAACGAGGATGAGATAGCTATGAGGTGGTTAGGACATCCTATATTTAGAGATAAAGAAGGGTGTGAGCTTTTTATACGTCGTATACCTACCTTTTTTGAAACATTTCCGGTTGTTTTGGTAGACGAAGATGATATTGTTAGAGCCGATGTTCCTTTTCGAAGGGCGGAATCGAAGTATAGTGTTGAACAAATAGGTGTAATTATTGAGTTCTATGGTGGCGAACTAAATGGAGTCAGTTATACGAGATCTTGCTACTATGAAAAAATATCCTAGACGCACACAATTAGGTGAAATTTTTGAATTAGATCGTGCTACTTTGAAATCCGATGGTGTTTTTCATGGCGAATCGAAGGGTTGCTTTACTTTAAATAAAATTAACTCAATTAATTCTAATTCTAACCAAATTAAATTTAAAATAATAATTAATTAACAATTTTTAATATAAATAAAAATATAATTTAAATAATTAAATAAAATTAACTCGATTAATTAATTAATTATAAATCAAATTAACTTAATTAATTCTAATTCTAACCAAATTAAATTTAAAATAACAAATAATTAACAATTTCTCATTTAAATAAAAATATAATTCAAATAATTAAATAACCTAATTAATTAATTCTAAATTAAATTAACTTAATTAATTAATTCTAACCAAAATAAATTTAAAATAATAATTAAGTTAACTTGATTAAGAAAAATTAAACAATGAACTAACAAAATTATAATTAATTAACAAATTTATTCTAATTCAACCAATTAACCTAATTAATTAACAAATTAACCTAACAATTAACAAAATTTAACAAACTAATCAACAAATCAACCTAGCAATTAAAAAAATTAACAATTTAATAAATAAATCAACAAAATAAAAATTCAATATAAACACAATTATAAATCAAGCAATTAAATTTAAAATTAACCTAACAAGTACAATAAATTACTAAATTTAATTAAGAAAATAAAAGAGAAAAAAAAACTTACCTAATTCGAGTCAAATTACGCCAAGAAGAGGGAAGGAAAAAAGATGAGCTTTTTAGGGGAAAAAAACCTTAGAGTGGGTGTGAATTGATTGAGAGTGAATGAGTGGATTTTGGTAATGGTTTGTAAGGAGGGGATTTCAACCACTACAAGCTCGGGAAGGAGAGAGAGAGAAGAAAATGAGTAAGGAGGAAGAAGAATGGGTTTTAATTAGGGATTAACAAATAATGACATACACGATCTCTTTTATCGATCCATCGCTATTTAGGGACGATACACTTATGTATGTCGATTATCCGTCTTAAAATAGGTAGCCAATTTCCTACGGTTGGTCGCTTATTTTTTTTCACATATAGCAACATAAAGTTTTCATCGCTAATCGAGTCACCAATTTAGCGTTTTTAGCTTCCAAAAAGTCTATCCAATTTTGTCCAATTTTTACCTTTAGCGACGAATTCATCCTTTACCGATGGATATTTCATCACTAAATTGTGACATTGAAATTAGTGATAGATTTTCTATTATGTTACTATTTTTTCTAGCAAATCTATAGCTAAACCTCGTTAGTGTAGGTGCCTAAGATCTAACCTTATTTGGATGGTTTGATGTGTTATAACATTACATTTTAATATTAATAAAGAAATCTTTTTATTAATTCTTATCATTTATAATTTGATAGAAGTCCATATGATATGCATTGCATTAATGGTTGATCGAAACATGTGAGATAAATATTAATGCACTTAAATAGTATAATTAAATATCCCAAATTATAGCATTATTAAGAATAAGCATTGACTACATACGATAAGACTTGTGAGTTTTATGCTCTTATTATTAGATAGCGATAGGAGATCTCACACATATTGACATGATGATGCAAGAGCATGCACTCGGATGATTAATGTTAGAAAATATATCACTAGACGTGACTCGTCATAAGAGTCTATTTGATTTAGTCTATGAGAATCCATTTGGTTTAGTCTATGAGAATCTCATAACGAGATGGTTATCTAATTAGATGAATTATATACTTTGACATTTATTTTGATGAGTTCAATAAAAAGCTACATATGGATGATTCATTGGGTGCACTAGGAATCTAATAAAGATAGTCTGGATGACTAAGATAGGATACGCCATTCCTCATATGTTAAAGGAGTTATCCCATTGCACTTCGATGAATATCTGCTCAAGGAATCTATAGCCATAATGGGAGTATACCAATAAAGTATAATTGGTTTACTTTAGAACTAAGACATTTAGGAATTAAAAAAAAAACTTTATGGGATCATAATCGAATAGACAATAAACTAAGTTCAAGATTACACTATGATAAATTGATATTAGAACTGAATTATATAGAAACTATACTCGTGAAAGGTAATTTCAAATTACTTAATCCTCCTAGAAAATTGGATAATCACAATGCCTTACTAGGAGGTCAATTTTAATTTATGTATCAAGAGATAAAAGAGATGTCTTTTGTTCTCAATACATTACCAACATATCTAGGTGCCTATTGAGTCATACACATAAGGTTACACATTCACATGATAAAAGAGAAGACAAATTTTGAAGAAAAAAAATTTCTATTTTGAAAGTTTCCTATTTTGAAAAGTTTTTTGTTTTGGAAAAATTTCCTAAAATAAAATTTTTTCTATTTTAGAAGTCGGTTCCAAATTTAGAAGACGAGTTACCTAATAAAGAAATTAGTGTCCTAATTTAGGTTTAAGGGTATTATGAAAAATTATTTTCTAATGTGAGCTCCACTAAATTAAATATTTGACCTAATTTATTTGAATGGTCCAAATTAATTAGTAATAAATTAGATCAAAAGAGTTTAGGCCAATAGGTTTAATTTAAAAACTTACAAAATATTTTGTTGAAAGGATAAATTTGAGCACTATTGGTTAAGGCTTAGGGTTTATAAGGATAAGGTTAGACAAAGCCTACATAGGTAACATCTTCTTGACCTATAAAGAGAAATTTCCACTCTTTATAAATAAAAGAGAGAGGGATGGCAAAAGAAGGGCAAAAATCCTTGAGTTGTTAGGTTAATTCGATTTCCAAACTCTTTTCTTCCTAAAAACCCCCGAATTTCCTCCTTTTTCTCCATCTCTTCCTAATTGTCCGAAGGTATGTTCTTTATCTCTTTTATTTTCTTAAAAAATGTTGTTATTTTTCATGATTGTTAGGTTAATTCGATTAATTAGTTGAATTTTAATTTTGTTTATATTTGATTGTTAATTGGTTAGATTAATTTATTAATTAATTTTTATTTAAATTAATTAGGTTAATTTTTTAATTAGGATTAAATTAATTAGTTGATAACGCCCATGACTGCGAAGGTCCCCATGATGGTTTCCTCAACTCTAGGAAGTTCTATTGGATCCGATACTAGACGGACCATTTAGGTCGTGAATAATTGATAAGTAATATGTTTTACATATGGTAATCAATTTTATCTTTTCATATATTATATTGGAATCATTAATTCACTTATTTATTATTTATTTGTTTCGTTTGATAGCTTGGTTCCATCAAGTAAGTTCTCCATAAAAATCACCTCAATTTTCAAAGAGCGATTGGACATCACTAGCTCCACATGAAAGCTTCGTATTTATGGAGACGAAAGACTTCTACTATAATGAGTTTAGGATAATATATTAATCATTTATTTATATTCTATTTAAAGTATTAATTTAACATGAAACATAGTAATATTGTTTTTTTCTTCATGTAGAAGTACTTTTTATGGGATACGGCCATGAACACGTTGATTAAGGATGTGTAAGAGAATCTAGCATGAAGGCGGTACGATGACATGCTTGAAGAAGCTAAAGTAAAAGACTAATAGATCCATGTTTATTAAATAGCATATGCATGGCATCGAGATTGGGCCACACTTGAATTTAAGGCTCAAGATCATGTCGCTAAATCTACTAATTATATATACATAAATAATAAGATAAAAGTAAAGGATTACCTCTTGTAGTGTAGATCTAAATTTCTTTTCTTTGAGTAGCCGTCCAAGTGTCCGGCCTCTATTGATGATCCACACGACCCAAACATCCACAAATAAGCATTCAAAATTGATAGGGTGCTAGCTCCACCTTTTCTTATTAAGTATTTCCTCTAGAAATAAATTTTCGGCAACTTTGCGACAACTTTAAAGGAGAGGGTATGAGAATTTCTTACTAGGATTTTAGGAGAAAACTATTTTCTCCCCTTTTTCTCTCTTGGCCATGTGCCCTTTTTTTGTTTGGAGGTCTGGTTGAATTTTTTCCTACTTTTTTTTTCCTTTTTGCCAAAATTCTCTATTAGGTTCTCTCTCGTCCTTTCGCCATCCCTCTCCTCCTATTTATAGGGGGAGATTTTCCTTTTCCTCCAAAGACAAGGAAAATGACGACTTTGAGTCTATAAAGGACTCTAAGTTGTTGCTTCCTTATCCTCCAATGATGAGGAGTTATTTTATATGTAGACTACTTGATGTTTATCTTTAAAACATTCATCCTTATCCAATAAGGTTGATGTTTATCCTCCCATCAAAATTATCTTAAGGCTTTTAATTAAACCTAATGGGCCAAAACTATTTTAGCCTAATTAATTTATTTGGACTATCCAAATAAACATGCTTAGATTATTTTGGCGAGGTCCATATTAGAAAATAATTTTTCAAAATACCCTTTAACCTAAATTAGGAAACTCCTTTCCTTTTAGGTTCTTTATTTTCAAATTTGAAACTAACTTCCAAATTAGGAAACCAATTTCTAAAATAGGAAACTTTCATTTTAGGAAACTTTTCGTTTGCCATTTTTGAAACTTTCCATTTTCTATTTTATGAAACTTTCATAACTGGAAACTTTTTACAATATCTTTGCTTCTCATTTATAATGTGAATACTTGAACTTATGCGTATGACTCAATAGGCTCCTATATATGTTGGCAATGTATCAAGAATTAAAGACTCCTCTTTCATCTCTTGATATATAAATCAAGATTAGCCTCTAGCAAGGCATCATGACTACCCAATTCTCTAGGAGGATTAGTTAATCCATTATTACCTTGCATAAGCATGGTTACCATATAATTCAATCCTCATGTCAACTTATCACGAGTGTGATTTCAAACTTGGTTATTAGTCTTGCTTGATTATGATCACACAAGTTTTGTTCGATTCCCAAGTGTCTTAACTCTTAGAGTAAATCAACTATGCTATATTGGTATACTCCTACCGTGGCCACGCATTTCTTGAGCGAGACATTTATCGAAGTGCGGTGTGA